CGGGGCAGGAGCTCACCTGGCAGAATCAGGGAGCGGCAGGGGGCCAGCCCGGGGGGAGGGAGAGGAGGAGAGGGGTCAGGACACAGCGCTGGGGACTCTGGCTCGTCCCTGCTCCTGAGTTGGGAGCCAACGGAAGGCTTTTAAGCAGAGGGCAGTGCGGCAGGACGTGGCCTTTCCCAGGCTTGTGGCGGCCTGTGTGCTGAGAACAGGCGGGGTGGTGGGAGAGGCGGGGCCCCCTGGGAGCAGGGCAGGCAGGTGGGACCCAGGTGAGAGGCGGTGGCCTGCAGCAGTGGCTGTGGAGTAGTAGGTGAGAAGTGGTGGTTTCTGGAAAGATTCTGAAGTCAGAGACAATAGGGAGAGGACTTAGTGCCACTGCAGCTTCTCGAAGGTGAGTCTGACCCTTACGGTCTTGGCCACCAGGCCCACTACCCTGCAGCAGGCCGACCGGCTCCCAGCCTCTGGCCATGACTGCAACCCCTGCCTGTTAATGCCAGTGCTCCTCGTTACAGCAGCTGAAAAGAAGAGGGATGATGATGACCACAATCACGGCAATGATAGTAACAGCAACGGCACGTTCACCGGGCACCGGGCTGGGCATTTGCGCACGGTAGCGCATAGAAACCTTTACGCACTGTGAGGCGGGTGCCGTCATTATCCCCACTTTACAGATAAGGAGTTCAGAGCTCAGAGACACTGAGTAATCAGACTAAGGTCACACGGCGAGAGAGTGGCAGAGCTCCTTCGGCCCTCCAGATCTCGAGGCTGAACAGCTGTTGGCTGCACGGCCCTCCCAGGGTTCACCAGGCAGACCCACCTCTCTCCGTCTGATTGTCACCTGCCACTGTCCCCACCCTTCTCTTCTGGGATTGGCCAGCCCTCAACACGCCTCTCTCCATCCACATGCACAGACCGCCCCTGCAGACTCCCTGAGTCAAAGTCGCCGCCGCTTCCGACCCGGAGTGAGACCACGCCGACTCCAGGCAGAGCCCGGGCAGTTGGAAGCAGGCACTGTTTTTGGAGACATGGAGGCCAAGTTGGTTGCTTTTGCAAAGGCGATAAATTCACACCTTCGCCGGGCCCTCGGGGAGCATCCCTAATGACTACGGAATGACAAAGGTGTCAGATAAACCAACACAACCGCAGGGGACCGTTCCCCCAACCTCAGCGGTCTCCCGGTGGGCCAGCCCCTGGACGAAGTGTGCTATCCACATACGACCCCGTCGTGCACTTGGGCTGATGGCTTGTCTGTACCGTTTTGCAGGTGTGGAAACTGAGGCTCAGAGAAGCTGAGAAAGCTCCCTTGGGTTTCACAGCTAGCGCAGCGGGTGGGGGAGAAGCAGGGAGGCGCACAGCTCCACCGCCCGCGCGGCCCCCTCTGCCAGCCACTGCCGCGCCCGGGCGAGGGAATGCGTCCTCACTCATGTTCTCTGCAGCGGTCAAACATCACACCTGCAATTTTGCTCTGTTTACTTTCAGCCAACCCATTCTTTTCTCCATAAATCACGCAGCGTCCTACCCTCGTCAGAATCGTCGAAGGCCCAATTAACCTTGAATGCTGTGGCCCCTTCTCTGCAAACTGCCCCCAAACTCACGGGCTTTCCAGGCTGGGGACATTACAGAGCTGACGGGAAACCAGCCCAGCAAGCCTCCACCGCTGCAGAGACCCTGTGGGGAGGGGGACCCACATGCATAGGAAAACCACCCGCAGCAGCTAAATTCCAACTGCCAAGCCTTTATTAGTGGTGATAAAAGGTAGCACAAACAGCGCCGGGCTCTCTACTCCCAGGTGGGGGCTGCAGTCCCAGGAATTAGTCATGTTTTGACTGGTAGAGCTATGGAATTTATAATGGAGGCCGTGGAGAAATTAAAGGAGGATTATGGCCGGCCCCTCCCCCAGCCCCAGGTCTCCGGTGGGAGCAGAGTGGCGGGGCCTTGGGCCGGCCCGGGGGCTTGTTTGGTTGGCCGGGGGGGTTTGGCCAGGTTGTTGCCCCCGCAGGCCCCGGTTTCCGCGGGGGTTGGCCTTGGCTTGTCCCCCCCCACCTCCTGGGGGTGTGCTCACCCCCATCAAACCCTAGGGAGGAGGAACAGGTCTGTCCTGTGTTCTGAGACGCACCCAGCCGGTGTTGAGCGAGGCTTTGCAGAAATGAAACCGTGTCTCCAATCCCATCAGCATCCTGCTTCCTGGGTGAAGCATTCTTCTCTCCCTGGAGGGAGGTAATTGTAGAGGGGACAGCCCCAGAACTGGGGGTCAGGAGGATGGCTCGAATTTGGGTGAGTGTAGTTAACTCTGACTTAATTAAAGAGAAGAGGGAGACCCGCCTCTCACACTCTGGTTTTAGGGCCTCTTGAAGCTCTAAAGATCCCCGAGAGTGGGTGTCCTAACACCTTGGTGAGGAAGTTAATCAAAAGGACGGGATGAAAAGGAAGCTTCGCCAGGAGCAGGAATGAGCTCTGGTGCCCACGCATCACCCTAAAGCCTCCTGGGGTCTTTAGTCCTGGAGTTTTGTTGCAGACAGTGACTCAGGGAGAAAATTAACCTTCACTGAGCACCTACTATGTGCCAGGATGACTGCTCGGCCTCTTTAAAAACATTCTTCAATTTAACAGAGCCTAGCAAAGGGCCCAGGGCACAGAGTAGGTGCTTAATGAATATCCACTGAGTGCATAAACAGCTTCGATTTCCGTATCAGCCTTATAATCACCACTTTACTGATGATGCCACTGAACCAGAGAGGGGCAGACCTTTGCTCCAGGCAACACAGCGTGCAAATGCAGAACAGAGATTCCAGCCTGCGTCTTTCTGACGTCCCACTTTCTCAACGGGCTTTGGCCTCATCCAAGGAGGCGGAGGAAGGAAGGGAGAGGCCCCGGGAGCTGTCCACGACTTGCAGTGCTGAAGGGAAGAACAATAGAGCCCAGCGCAGATGTCCCAACTGAGGAAGGGCTCCTCTCACCCTGGACGTGAATTCATCTCACTCTCCCACCTGGGAGGTGACTCCGCCCAAGCTCTGCACTCTCCTGCCATCACCCCGGCTCTAAAACTGCTTGGCAACAGGAAAGAAGATGCGCTAGCCCCTCAAACCCACCATTAACCCCAAGTATCGTCAATACCAAAGTCCCCGTCAGACAGGACCAAGGGCCCGGACAAAGCAGAATTTTTAGCCTTAGCTGAGTCTAACAGAATATCTATGTTTGTGGTTTATGTTATTGCTCTGGTCCAATCCCTCTCTGAGCCATTCTCCAAGCTATTCCCAGAGTTCTACTTCCTCAAGTGACATCATGACTCTGTTGACAATTCTGTCCTTGGTGTGACACCCGATGTCCTTTGAGAGTTGACCCTGCCAACAATCACCTTCATCTTTCCCTAGCCCCCCATCCCTCAGCCATTGCAAATGACCCATCTATTTAGCCCCTCATACCAGGTCGTCAAAGGCAACTATGGGGGTGGTAGCAGGGATAAGCATCCCAAACAAAAGGAACAGCATGTGCAAAGTCCTGCCCCTCTAACCAGTGCCATCTCAAACATCACTTCCTCCAGAAGACCGCTCTGGCTGTCCACCTCTTCCTGCGCCAGGCACTCCCTGGCCCCGTGGTACCTCTGTGTCAAGAACGCAAGTCTTCCCCATCACTCAGCGTGCTCAGTGTTACGCTCCACTTGGTCCTCTGCACCAGCACAACCTAAAGCTTCCACCAGGGTTATCTCAGGGAACCCGGACACCCAAACCCCAGCGCAGGGTGCTAAGCCCCTGCCTTGGCAACAGAAACTGGCAGGACTGTGCCCTCACAACTGGGGATGGCCACCCGGGGCATGTCCCTTTGTCCCTCTGCCAGCCCTACCCAGCCCCCAGCCCAGCTGCCAAGACCCAGCTCCCACCGCCCTGCACCTGGCTGCCCCTGGCAGGCAGCCCCAGACGCTCGCGAGGATCAGCCTCCCCCAGCCCTGAGCAGCTGCCAGGCCCTGCGGGAGTCGGCAGGCATCTTCTGGGACACATGCGCCGCCCTCCAGGCCCAGCGTGCAGCAGTTCCGAGTTCGGCTGACGGCCTGCGCAGCCCACGGAGCTGCTATTTTTAATTTAATTGGAGAGTCGGAGAGAAGGATGGTACCCAGCGAGGGAGTTTTAAAAGCTTTCGGGTGGGGGTGGGGGAGAGAAGGCGAAGAAAAGTTGGTAATTATACACCAGGCAGCCAGATCTGACGCTGGAACAGAAAGGTTAAATGTTTACATTGGAAGGAAACGAGAAAAAGGTCTGATGAACAGCTGCCCGGAGCCAAATAGGGGAAACACACCCCTCGCCCATCTCCTCCCCAGGCCCTCCTCTTCCTCCCTCTCACTGCTGAGTCTCCGCCCTGCAAGGCTCAGGTGCACACGGATATGCTGGTTTCGAGTCCAGAGGTCAGAGCTCAGCATGTCCACACCTGACTGCCACCCAGACGTGGCCTTCACTCAAGCTGGAAAAATCACACGTCGGCATCTCTCAGGGCAAGGGGGCAGCAGGGCCAGCAAGCTGAGAAGGCAGCCTGGCACCGCTGGTAATAACCTGGCTTTAGAATGGATAGATCCACTGTACCCCGCACAGTGCCTGGAACATAGTGAGTGCTCGCACGTTTACCGAGTACATATTCATCGAATGAGAACTCAAGCTGTGAACAGAATGGGGGTCCTGTGGGGTGAGCGGGGAGGACGTGGCGATGGAGAACGGGGCTCCAGGCCCTTGTGTGCTCTGCTCGGTGGCAGCCACGGTTCCCAGGCCCCCACCCTCACTCTCTTTCACTCTCACCCTCCCCGGTCTGTCTCCCCAGGGGCTGCCCCCTCCCCCACACTGGTGCATCACAGGAGCCACACTGGTTCCAAACAGGTTGTTTATTTGCATGTGTAAAACAAGGCCCTGGCCAGGGTGGAAAGGGCCTTCCAGGCTCATCACACCAATGACCCCTGGCCAGAAAGGGCCTGTAGGACCAGAGTCCTCAACTCTCCCATCCCCACCCTCCCTGTCCCCCAGTCAAAATTAATTAGGGCTCCCAGCAGAAGGGTTACCCCAGTTAAAACCTACTTGATCAAGAAGAATGGGACAATGCAAGGGAGGCACCAGGGGAAAATAAGTGGCTGTCAGGCATGGAGATGGCAGAGGGCCACTCCCACCCCAGTGACGGACCACCCTGGAAAAACTGTCCCCCGTAGAGTGTCCAGGCATGACATCCCATCCTCCCTCGAGTTGGATCCCACTCTTGAAAAAGGATAAAATCTAAAAACCTAAAAAACTCCCTCAAGACCTCAGATTCCAGCCGACTCCGCCCCTCCCCCCTCCCGTTCCACTGCTGCCCAGAGCACGTTGCTAAAATTCATCCGCCCGGGGCCAGCTGGCTGGAGCCCATTCCCAGGAGGGAGCCGCAGGTCACGGCCTTAGACTCTCATCATATTCCTCCTTGGTCAGCCACTCAGACCTGTACGTGGACAGGTGAGCCAACACGGACGCTCCGAGCCAGACGCTGAAGTTTCTGTTGGAGCTCGCCCAAATGGTGACCTCAAAGGAGGAGAAATCGCTGGCCATCAGCTCCTGGTACAGGCGGGTGGTGAAGCCGGGGTAGAGGGTGTTGCCCCCGCAGGCGACAATGTGGGACAAGAGCTGTGGGCGCAGCGAGGTCTGGGTGGACTTGATGGAGTCGATGACGACCTGCGGGATGCTGGGCCCCGGCAGGTCGAACACCTGCGGGCTGAAGAAGGCCTCGGGCGCCAGCCGCTCCAGGGGGGCCAGCTCCATGGGGGTGCCGTCTGGGAGCAGGTAGGTGTTGCCCGCATCCGAGTGGCTCGGGCTGAAGTCCAGGGCCTCCCCCAGGCTCTGGGGCACGTAGCACTTGCTCGTCTGAGTCACGGCCACCGTGTCCAGCTGAAACGGGTCGTGCTGATTGCAGTCTTTCTTGAAGATGCTCTTGAAGAGAAAGTCGGACAGGTCCTGGCCGGCGAACTCCAGCGTCTTGCCGCAGTCGGGCAGCGGGCGGCCCATGTGGAAAGGCTGCACGCGGGTCAGGCCGTAGCCGGAGTCCAGCACCACGCCGGACAGCAGGCCGTTGGCGTACAGGGACATCTCCAGCTGGTCGGCCAGGAGGATGGAGGGCACATCCAGCAACTCGAACATGATCTGCGAGAATCAAGGGAGAATGCGCTCAGGGCGTTTTCCCGGAACCGCTCTGCTCTCAAACCTGAGCCCGGCACAGACCCACACCCTCGGGGGCTCCCAGCTGCCCCCGGGACGTCGGGCCTAGGGCCGGGGGCTTATGCAGCAGGGACGAGGAAGGGGCTCTGGAGCACTAGAAAAGGAGCTGGATTTGCCCCTGGGAGCTCGTCCGACGGTGGCCTCTCAGGAGACCCCTTTTCTGGGGCAGCGGGAGGAGCCCCGCGCTGGGGACCGGCTCTGCGGGTGCCTGCTCGGCCGAGGGTCACGCTGGCAGCCGGAACCCGCCTCTTTAGAAGGAGGAGGAACAGATTAGAAAAGAAACAAGTGCTGCATATTCACCACTGCCTCCAAAAAATGCAGAGAGAAAGCAAAAAGAAAAACGTACTCACTGCCTGGTAGGCAAAGCCTTATTTATTTTTACAATAAAAACTTTCCAAATATCAATACGAAGCTGGAATTCTGAAACTTAGTGTTTGGCAAAGTCCCTGGGCGGATTTTCTCCCCCTGCCCATCATTTCCGGGTCTTTACGGAGCCCCCCCACCCCCAATTCCCCAGCTGCCTGCCGCGCCAGGGCCCTGACCCCATAGACGCAGACCGGCGGGAGTAGCCCGGCCTTCTCTGACCTGTGCCTCTCACGTGCCCCTTCAGGCCCACCTGTGCCCTCGGAGGGAGAAGGCTCCCTCCATTCCTGCTCTCAGAATGCCGTCCCCCACCAGCCACTTTCCAAACAGCAGGCAAGGTGCTGTTGTCCAAACAGATCAACAGATACGACTCCCCTGGCGGAACTCTCCAGAAACCGCCTATGTGCTCTGAGAGGCGGTTGGCAAGTGTTTTCTGTACGGGGCTGGACAGTGAGGGTTGCCAGAGTCAGCAAATAAAAGCATAGGATGCCCAGTTAAATCTGAATTTCAGATAAGCGACAAGTCATGTTTTAGTATAAGTATGCCCCATGCAGTACTGGGGACATACTTATATGATGACATGATTTTGTCATTTATCTAAAAGTTGAATCTAGCTAGTCATCACATATTGTATCTTGCAAACCTACCATAATAAATATTTCAGACTTCACGGGCCATACAGTCTGTTACAACTACTCAACTCTGCTGCTGTAGTGTGAAAGTAGCCACAGACAATATGTCAATGAATGGTGTGGTTATGTTCCAATAAAACTTTATTTACAAAAACAAGTGGTGGGCCACATTGGGCTCGCTGGCTGTAGCTTGCCAACCCTTGATTTAGAGCAGAACCAAAGCACTCCCCACAGCACAACCAGGCCTTATGGTCTGGCTCCCACCGACCTCACCATCCTACTGGCCTCTCGCCATGCCTCCAGCTGCAATCACCTCCTCAGAGAAGCCCTCCCTGATCACCCTCTTCCAACAGGCTCCCTCTTCCCCGCCAGTCGGCCACCACCCCGTGTCATTTTGTTTCTAGAACTGGTCACTGTCTGCAATGATTTGTTAACCTCTCCATGGTCCAGTCTGAGGGCCAGAACACGGTCTGTGAACAGGCACAGGATCCAGAGGCACGCAGCCGGCGCGTCCTCCCTTGCCCCCACTGTGGCTGCTGTTCTCTGTCCGCAGGAAGGCTTCCGCGAGCTCCTTGCACCCAGCACCGTGCCGGGCACGCGTGAGGTACTCAGGAAACGTACGTGGGGCACGTGATTGAAAAAGTAGACTTCCGGTGCCCAGCCACGCCCTGACACAGCGTCGGGCTGCACCCCTCCCGGTGGGGGTGGCAGCCCCCAGAAGGACTCACCTCCAGCGTCTTCTTCCGGTCTATGGGCTCCCTCAGGGGGGACTCCGTGATGATGACGCCGCAGTCGCTGTGCTCCCGCCTGTGCCTCTCCATCACAAAGGACCACATGTGCTCCACGCCCTCCCAGTTGAGCACGCGGCCGCGCTGTACGGGGTAGCTGAAGGTGTCGGGGTGGCGGAGGTCGATGCCCAGGCCCACGCGCCTCCGGGCGTAGCTGGGCCCGGGGTTCTCCCTGCACGGGACGTAGTTCACGATGCTCGGCACCACCAGCTGGGGCTCGTTCCAGCCGGACAGGCCGGCCTTCAGAAAGCCAGACCCGTGGTCAATGATGATGGCTCTGGAGTCCATGGCGGAGGCAGAGGCGGGAGATGGCTTCTAGACGTGGGTCCCCAAGGACGTCTGGCAAAGCAGGGCAACTGCGGAGGGAAGGGAGGGGTTTTTTATGAACCCCGTCTATGCCACCATGAGCTGCTACCCACCCTCCACCCCAGGGTCGGATCTCAGCCTCCTCCTGAAGCGTGTCCGTCACCCCTTCCCAAGCTGTTGCGTAAGCTGCCACCTGCACCCGGAACGTCTTCCCCACCCCACATTCCTGGTCATCCCACAAGGCTCACCTAACGGGCCCTGTCCAGGAATCCCTGCCCACCCCTCCTGCCCACCAAGCGTCTCCCACTGCACTCTGCACGTAAGCCTGTCACACCAGGTGGGCACTTCTGCTCCACGGGACCAGAGCCTGGGTCAGATTACTCTTTGCAGACTCAGCAAGGAGCTTGTCTCTTAGGAAGTCCTTGGTAAACGTTGGCTGCCTGATTAGAGGGCACAAGGAACATGAGAAACATCAGCCTCAGAGCCACCACCTTCAATAATAATGACATAGCAACAGCAGCACTCGCTGTAATAGTGATGGTGATGATGATGATGATGGTAGCTGTAGGTGCCCTTTCTGGAGTGCATACCCTTCATCTAGTACTACAAGGAACATCTGCATGGTAAGTTGAGCTATGTAAAAATTGCCACGTGTGTCAATGAAAAATTGTCAGATTATCAGCAGTTTCATATGGTTTAATCTTTGCCACCATCCATAAGGCAGGGACCATCAACTACACCCATTTTACAGATGGAGAAACCAAGGAAGACAGAGGTTAACGTTACATTCCCAGGGCTATATAACTAACAAAAGCAGGGCTTAGAGTTAAACCCAAACCAGACTCCAAAGGCTGTATTCTGAGCTGCGTGCATGAGAAGATGTGGGTTTTGGCAATGAGCTGAGCATCTAACTTACCATACGAGGAGGCCGTCAGGGGACACTAACCGTGATGATGGTCAGTTTCATCATCTAGGAAGTGGGGAGAACAGCAACCGCATGTTCAGAGGCAGGTGCACTCGCTACCTGATGTCCCGACTTACTATAAAACTACAGTAGCCAAGATGGTGTGGTATTGGTGAAAGGACACTCACGTAGATTCATGGACCAGAACGGAGAGTCCAGAAATAGACCCGCAAAAAAGGTCACTTGATCTTTGACAAGGTCCAAAAAGAATTAATTGGAGGAAGGACAGTCTTTATAACAAATAGTAGAAACAATTGGATGTCCATACTCAAAAAAAAAAAAGAGGATCTTAGTCCCTACCTCACACTATATAAAAATTAACTTAAAATACATCATAGATCTAAGTATAAAACCTAAAATTATAGTACTTATAAGAGAAAGCATAGAAGAAAGTCACTGTGACTTTAGATAAGGCAAGGTTTTCTTAGGTATAACACCAAAAGCCTGATCCATAAAAGAACAAATGGATAAACCATACTTCATGGAATGTACGAACTTTTCTTCAAAAAACACTGTTGAGAGGATGAAAAGGCACGTTATGAACTGGGAAAAAAATATTTACAAACCATTTATCCGATAAGAACTTTTATCCAAAAAATATAAAGAACTCTCAAAACCTAATATAAAGAGAAGAGAAACAAGCCAATTTTTTAAACAAGCAAAAGATTGAAATAGTTGCTTCACCAAAGAAGATACCTGGGTGGCGAATGAGCACGTGCAAAGGTGGCTGGCACCTTTAGGTTAGTCTTTAGGAAAATGCCTGTTCGAACCACCACGAGACATCACTGTCCCCAGCTGGGATGACTACTATTAGAGACCGGCGGGCTGGGAGGCAGAGAGACCGGAAATCTCATGCACTGTTGGTGGGAATGGAAAATGGTACGACTGCTTTGGAAAAACAGTGTGGCAAGTTTCTTAAAAAGTTCAACATACAGGCAGGTGTGGTGGCTCACGCCTGTAATCCTAGCACTCAGGGAAGCCGAGGTGGGAGGATCGCTTGAGCTCAGGAGTTCGAGACCAGCCTGAGCAAGAGCAAGACATCAGCTCTACTAAAAAGATTAAAAAAATTAGCCAGGTGGGTTGGCATGTGCCTACAGTCCCAGCTACTCGGGAGCCTGAAGCAGGAGGATCGCCATACCCCAGGAGTTGGAGGTTGCAGTGAGCTATGATGATGCCACTGCACTCTAGCCTATGCGACAGAGCAAGAACTTGTCTCAAAAAAATAAAATAAAATAAAGTTCAACATATACCTACTGTACGATCTAGCATTTCCACTCTCAGGTACTCACCCAAGAGAAATGAAAAGTTATGTTCACGCAAAACCCCTTTATGCACATGTTTACAGTAGTAGCTTTATTCATAATGGCCAAAAATGAGAAACAACCCAAATATCCTCCACCTAGGGAAGGGACAAACAAATCTCCACTCAGTGGAATACAGCCCGGCCACAAAAAGAGACACGCAACTGATGCTCACGGTGACAGGAACAAATCCCTAATGCAGGAGACTCTAAGCTGTGCGAGTCCGTTCCCGTGACAGCCTGGAAAAGGCAGAACCATACGGACGTCCGAAGCCAGATCCACGGCCAGATCCACGGCCGCCAGCAGCTGGCAGTGGTGAGCGGGGTCACCGCGGGGGCAGGGCAGAGCTGGCCGTGGTGGGGCGCTGCTGTATCTCGATTATGGGTGCGGGTGCACAACTGCACGCATTTGTAAAATTCTCACAACTATTCTCCGTTTGGAGTAAACTTTAAGTACAAACTTTTTGAGGGAAAAAAATTTGAGTGGGCATGGGGACATCAGTGACAGTTTTATGGAACCCCTTGCAGAATGCAGAGGGCCGCAGGGACCGCAGACGGGGTGCGGTGACCGTGCGTGGCGGTGACCGTGCGTGGCGCTTCCCGTAAGAGCGCGCTCCAGGGCGAGGCCGCGTTCTGGGGCTGTCGCCACCCCAGTTATCTGCTCTGCTTCGGTTTCTGGGCAGCAGCTGCATCTGCCCATCGCGACGGAGCATGGCAGCCACTGCCCAGCCCTGGCCGGTGGCTCCCTGCTGTCGCCAACCTTGGGGCAGAGGCCAGCCTTCCTCGCCTTTAATCAGCTCTGACATCAGACTCCGGGAGCGCCAGAAGGCGCAGAGAGACGGAGCCATGGCGGCCGGTCTCTGCCTCGCTGCTGGCCAGGGAAGTGATGGATTCCTCGCACTGAATCACCCAGAGTGGCGGAGAACTGGCTGCTGGATGACATTCCGGGAAGCAGGCTCCTCCGCCGCCACCAGCCTCCTCCGCACAGCGAGCGCGGTGACTGATCAATGCTCCTTCGGGCCTGGCATTTGGAGTCGTGGGAGACGCTGGCAGGGTGATCTCCCTGGGGCTGTCACTCAGGGGGGGGGGGGTTGGGAGCTCCAGGCTGGTGGCCCGCATGACCTGAGGCCCCTGCCCTGGGTGACGAAAGTGAGAGGAGCATTTGGACGGCTCCAAGGAGCCGGCTCTGAGGACAGAGAGAAAATCTACACATTCAAAAGCATTTTTACGGAGCCATCCATTCTACAAATCCCTACGGAGCACCTGCTAGGTACCGGAAACTGTTCCAGACTGCCGTGATTTCTCCCCTTGTAGAGTTTACCTTCTAAGACAGACTGTCGGTAACCACCGAATCCAACACAGCATGCCGGGAGGTTCACGCGGTGGAGAAAAATAAAGCCTGGGAAAAGCGACAGGGACTGTTAGAGGCACAGAGCCATGATGCTTTAAATAGACAAGTCACAAAAGGCCTTTCGACAGGGTGACGCTTGAGCAGAGAACAGAATGGAGTTGAGAAAATAAGGAATGTGAATACCTGGAAAAGCATTCCACACCAAAGGAACAGCAAGCGCAAAGGCCCCGAGGAAGAAAAGGCCGGATGTGCTCTGGGATCAGCCAGTGTGGGACGTGCTGAGTGGGGGAAGGACGTTGCAGGCCCCCGTACCGTGCTTACGGTGTGGGAAACCCCTGGGGCTTGGCCAGAGGGACGGCGTGATCTGACCCCACTCGCACCAGGATCATGTGGGCCGGTAAGAGGACAGACTGCGGAGGGCAAGAGCAGAAGAAATGCTAACGGCAGTGGAAGATGTGGGTCACCCGCGCTACGGTGGTGCGGGGAGGAGGGGAGACGCCGTCACGTCAGGGGCACACTTAAGAAAGGCTGATACACCAGGACATGAGACCAGGAGAAGAAAGAAGGAAGACTCCGAGATATTCAGCCCGAAAAGCTTCGAGAATGAAGTGTCCATTTACTGAGATGGAAAAGATTATGGAGGAACAGTTTGGGGTTTGGGAGGAAGTTAGGAATTTTATTTTGGACGTGTTAAGTTAGAGGTGTCCATTAGACACGTGGAACTGTCTGGGCAGCAGCATAACTTGGAGCCACTGAACGGAAGGAAGAGAAAGTTGTTGCGTGGGCATGATCACGAAGGGACTTAGAGCAGATAGAGACTCAGGCCTGGGGACATGTGGGGTCCAGTGGCCGGGCCTTGGACAGTGAAGAGGACCGGGTGGGAGTGGCCAGAGAGGCGGCAGGGAGCTGTCTCCCAGGGGCCAAGCAGAGAAAGTGCTTCAAGAAGGGAAGAATCAAATGGGGTGGGGAACAAGGATGAAGACGAAGGAATATGCACTGGACTTGGTGACACGGAGGTCCTCGGTGGCCCTGGCTAAAGCAGTTTCGCCGGAGAGGTGGGGGTGAAAGCCTAAAAAGAAGGATTCGAGAAAGAGGAAGAGACTGGCAGAGATTAACAGCAGCAGCAAACCAAGCAACGAAATGCTCGGAAAATGCTCGAAATGAAAGGGCATGACAATTAACACAATGCACATTTTCTGATCCCAGGTTGGAAAAGAAAAGAAATTGCCACGAAGAACGTTACCGCAGCCTTCTGGTGCCGGCCACGGTGGAGTAAGGCCATTGCAGTCCTCTCTCCTGCTGCTTATGACTACAAATTCTGGACAAAATGCAAAAAAAAAAAAAATATCTACCTGAGGACAATGGAGGAAAGCAGGCAGATTGAAGAGGAGACTCAAAGAAGCAACCTGCCCAGGATAAGGCTCCCACTTCTTTT